CCTGGAATCAGACTGACATTCCCCAGAGATAGGGGGGCGGCAGGGGAAGGTTTAGTGGTCATGGATCCGGGTCCCTCGTCCCCCATCTCTGTCAGAGCTGCCTTGCCTTTTTCAGCATATTGGAGGTCAAATACAATTTTGTTAGACAAAAGGGATTCCCTTTGAAAATCTCCCGTCTAGTATAGCCATATCCTTCAAAAGTGAAGAAAGGGAAGCCCTAACTTCTCCAGGGTCACCTGTCCTTTTCACAGACATTTAGTTGTCCCCCAATATCTAAATTTTGGTGTGTGCTAGGGCTAAGCCTCCAGGTGGTCTGGGATTAATGGGAATGGATGGTGACAAATTTGTGGAACTGTGCTCTCTGCTGTCATTAAGGGGTGTCATTTCTAAGGCTCCTGTCTGGCACAGAGCCTGGGATCTAGAAGAAGACATGGAACAGTTTGGTGGTGGAGGTGAAGAAATCTCAGAAGGCCATCATCACAGCATGAAGCATGAGTTTAGTCATCGTCCAGAAACATTCCTTTGTGGGACAGGGCTGAAATGCATCCGCGCTGTGTGGCTGCTAAGAGGCCCATGGAAGCCTTGGTGTGTCTGTGGGCTCGGGAAGCCTGGCTCAGATGGGGAATCCATCGATAGTTAAATCAGAATGGTTTATGTGTAGACAGGGCTTTTCTACGTGATTTGTAGTTTGAGTTTTTCCTTTTTTTTAGATATTAGCCGAAGATACATTTAAGCTCTGATTGATGATTCTCAACCTGGATGAACATCAGGATCACATGTGGAGCTTTTAAAGGGAACAGAGGCCAGGGCCTTCTCTCCCAGAGTGATTCAGGGCCTGAAAAAACAAACAAACAAAAAAAAAAACTAGCAGTTCCCCAGGGAATTTTGATTCTCAGCCACCACTGTTCCTGGCCTAAACAAGTGCTCCTTGAACCCTAATGTATATGGGACTCTCCTGGGGACCTTCTTAAAATGCAGTCTCTGCTTCAGCAAGTCGGGGCTGGGGCCTGCCATTCCGTGTTTCTAGCAAGTTCTCGGGTGAGGCTGATGCTGGTGGTACAGGGATGACCCTTTGAGTAGAAGAGCTCTCAATCATTTTCAAAGACGCCTGTGACCCCTCACCAGGAATTTACTAAGCCTCTACGGCATGTCCAGCACACACCAGGAGCTCTGGGACTCAGTGTGATAGACCAGGAAACGCGTTCAGTTCAGCAGCGCAGAGTTTCAGAAACAAGCGCAGGAGGCTGTGTCAAATGGCAGAGTGTGTGTCAGAGGTGTGGAACGGTGGCATCAGAAATGCAATTATGCTCTAGATTCTTGAAAAGCTAAGTCATTCTGCCTTGGCAACCAGCAATCAGAGGTGTCAGGTGATAGATTAAAACTTGACACCTAATTTGATCTGAGGGGAACTGAAAATAATAAGTACCTTATATTTGTGGAGCACCTTATTTTTCCAAAGAGCTCCAAGCACTTTACCAACTCCCTCGCCCGGAGATGGGAGGGTGGAGGGGGAGCTTTAATAACAGTCTTCAAGGTTCTGAAGCCTTATTAGTAAGTGAATGGTGGCCAGCTGTTCACAGTCCCCCTTCCTCCCTCAACCTGAAAAGCATACAAGAAAAAAGGGCTTCCGTGGCTGTACGTGCCTGCATGGGAAAGACTTACTCTTGGAAGAGGTTGTGTGGGGTGGGAACAGATGCTCGGGGGAGGTAGTGGAGCTCCCTGAAAGGAAGTTCTTACTATCCCATCTTGGTCACTTCCTGGCCATGAAACTTTGGCCAATCATTCAACGAGGAAGCAGACCAAATGCCCCCTCCTGGCCCCCAAATTCTACAGCGTATGATGGCATCTGACTCTGTCTCTGGGAGGCCAAGACGGAGCAGGAATGTGTGTGGTGAGAAGATTCTGGAGGGTCCTTCCAGCCCAGAGGGAACCAAAATCCTTTGGTGCAAGAGAGCACCGGTGCTGCTTGATGAGGTGGGAAGGCTGTGGCCTTACCCTTGTTCTGCTATTTCACCCAGCCCAGACAACTTTACCTTGCCTGCAGGCCTTCTGCAGAAGAGGCCCCAGCAGGGCCCAGACGCACTCTGTGCCGATTCTCCGGAGTGCCTTATGGGAAGTCACTGCAGGCAGTCTTTCAGCCAACTCGGCGTTTCCAACCCACCCCCGATTTCTTATCTCAGTTGGGTAGAATTGGTTTAACCATTCCAATCTGGAAAAGAAACTAGTCAGGCTCTAAGGCCCCATGTGTGGCCATGGGACAAACTGGACATCAGGAGACTCTGGGGCCTGTGTCGGGTAGAGAAAATAGAATTTAGAACGCCAGCCTGTACAAGCCTGTATGGGCTGGTATTTCCCCCAGAGCCAGATTGCTGGCCCCCAGTGTCTGCAGTCCTGGGATGCTGAACTTCTTGTTGAGAGCCTCTTGCCGTTCTGATAGCACTAGATTGCTAGGCATATAAGTCGAGGAAGTGAAATAGAATTGGCAGAGTTAAGCCGAATAGACCAGTGTTTCCGAGCTGGAAAAAAACATGGAGATTAATCTAATGCAACCTCTTGTTTTATAAGTAAGAAAAACTATGATCCAAAAAGAGGAAGTGACTTTCCCAGAGGCGCCCACACTTGTCAGCAGCACCACCCGATGCAGAAGCTAGGGCTTTGCCACACTGCACTGCTTCTCTCTTGTCCTGTGGTCCATGGCTGAAATCTGCTCCTGAAAAGCAGGTGTTCATTTACTTTTCAGTCCTTCTTGCTTCTCACTCAAAGCAGGACAGTTCTTCAGCTCAAGGGGTCCTGGCCCACTTCCCTCTCCCTTCCTGGGCTGCTAGCTCAACCTCATTCTGCGATCTTTGTCATTGGTAACAATGTACAGCATGGTGCAAAAAATAGTTTGATTTTTTTTTCTCCACGTTCCAAGTTGAGCTTGAAGTGCTGGCAGTTTAAAACGAACCACACAAATAAATCTTGTTTTGACTCATAGTCCAGGGGATGGATAAATATGGAAACCCCCAAGATATAATTTTGCAGTCATTTTTTTCTTAGCATAACTGCATGCTTTAATGTGCTGAAAAAATTCTTGCTCTGGCTCCAGAGAAATAGCAGCACTATCCCAGCTAAGTGCTTTTTCATGCCTCCTACCAAATAGATATTAAAACATACGCACACGCACACACACACACGCACACAGGCAACAACCAACCAAGCCCAACAGCTGCACATTCTGAGCTGAATGCCAATCCACGGCTGCAAGTTGACAGCTCTTGTTAAAGTCAGAGATGGGTGATCTTTTGAATTTCAACAAGTCTGTCTTCCAACAAGCTCAAGTTCACAGAAAGTCAGCTGAAATGACTGAAGGTGGAGGGAGGGCTCTCTGTTAGAGGGTCATAGAACAGAACCTGGCTTCAGAACAGAGAGACACAGAAAAGAGGAGAGACTCAGATGAGTCACATGGAGAGATGGTGACAGAGCTAGGGCAGAACCCACGTCTCCTAAAGAGAGATTGTGTGCCCGATGAAGGAGCTGAGATGACTTCACTGCAACCTGTCACACTGATGGGATTTTTACCAACATCTCTCACAGTCTCAACATCAGGGTTCGAGTAGACCTGAGACCTGTTCACCAAAGCCCTAGGAGGCTTGAAGGAGATGTTGCTTCATCGAGGAGGTAATTTTGAACCTCTCGTGCCAAGTGGCATGCAGGCTGAAAACCTAGTTAGGTATGAGAAAGGTATAAAGTTTAGACGGATAGTTCAAGACTTTTGGGGTTGAAGTCAGAGAGGACCAGGAGATACCTACCCCAAGACCAGCTCCTCTCCCTGCCCCTGTGCCAGAGACTGATGACCCGGGCCGGGGAGATGGTGACTGACTGTGATAGTTAGCACACTCTCTGGTCTTATGGACATTCTCATTTGTTTTTGCCAAATCTTTGGAGATGAGTCTAATTCTCCTTTCTCGGTGGCAGGCCAGGGTCCCTGGAGGGAAACGAGTTGTCCAGAGTGGCTGCGTAAGAAAAGAACAATACAAAGAAACCGCAGCTCCTGCTGGATGCTTTGCTTTTAATTTTTTTTTTCTGCTCCTTCTAAGCTCCTTTATTTTTATATCCAGGAATTGCTTTGGTGTTTTTTTGTTTTGTTTTGTTTTTTGTTTGTTTTTGTTTTTTTGTTTTGAGACAGAGTCTTGCTCTGTCACCCAGGCTGGAGTGCAGTGGCAGGATCTCGGCTCACTGCAACCTCTGCCTCCCAGGTTCCAGCAATTCTCTGCCTCAGCCTCCCAAGTAGCTGGGATTACAGGCACCCGCCACCACACCCGGCTAATTTTTGTATTTTTAGTAGAGATGGGGTTTTGCCATCTTGGCCAGGCTGGTCTTGAACTCCTGACCTTGTGATCCACCCACCTCGGCCTCCCCCCCAAGAAAAGAAGAAACCTGCCCTTTCTTTTCCCAGGAGGGAAGAGGCACCATTGCTGTTTATGGTGCATAGGACCCAGATGTTGGGTTTATGACCCATTCCCTACCTCATCCTACTGGATCATTCAGTATCCATCATCCCCTCTGCAAGCCATGGCCCATTCCAAATAATAACAAAACCCGGGGTAGAATTCTGCCCTGGGATTTCAAGTCTGATGCTCATATTTTCAGAGTTTCCATGTCAAGAAATCCCACAAGCCTTAATCATTCCTCACACATAAATCTACAAATATCTCTCTCCCATGTGCTCTAAACAGCAAGCTGCTTGGCCCATTTCCCTGCTTCCTCCTCCTTTCTTCCCTTTCCGTGAAAAGCTCTTCACACAAGTATCGTGTGGCACAGCACGGTCAGAGGAGTGGGTGTTCCCATTAGCGAACGCTCTAGCTAATAGAGGGGCCACAGGATTTCATATATGCCATGAGTGGCTTTCTCACTTTCAAGTAGTTGGAATATGTACAATCCACTTAGCACATCAACTGCAGTGTCCAGAATTTAATCTATTTTTGAGGGGTCAGAAGACACTCTAAGATCTTGTAGTGCCTTTGAGTCATCATTGCAAACACACATTGTCATCTCACCATTAGATACCATGTTTAGAGAGTTCCAGTTAATAAGACACTAAGTAGCAGAGACTTGATTGGAAATAAGAATCTAGAGGAAAAGGCTGAAGAATGAGGACCCATATACTCAAGAGTTCTTATAATTCAGTGCTTATGGTGTTGAAGGTTCTTTTGGATTCTCTGAGCCTTAACTTTCTCGTTTGGTAAATAAGAATTTTTTTCCCCCTATTGAACTGCAGTAAAAATGAATGCACAGATTAAGGAAACATTGAGGCTTAATTTCAAACATAATAGCATTTAAACTTAAAATCGGTATACCTGTAAGATGGACTTTGGACATTTATTTGAAATGCTCAAGTAAAGCAGCTAAAGTATTGGCAAAACTGTAACTGCTTATTAGCTTCTGTTATCCCACAGGTCCCTCTATTTAGTAAAACATTTAGCTACAATGAATAACTATTTGTTACTAAATTATGATTAAAAGCCCCTAATTAAATATTTAAGTAAAAATAACAACCTTCTTCAATGTGCACATTACCACATTCACTCACTGAATGGCAGTCGGTGGTCCCGGGCCTTTTGGGCGCCCTCAGGAGAGATACCTACAGTGCTCTTTTCACCAGGGAGGAGGCGGAGACCCGGGAGGAGGCCCCTGGCTGGTAAGCCACAGCCACCGTGGGAGTAAACAGTGTGATACCTTGAATAAACCTGTGACTTCTGGCCCAAGCAGTGCAGCTGCTATGGCCACAGCATTCCTTCTCATACAGGGCTTTCTTCAGAGCCAGAGCACCCAGTGACAGGGGTCTGTGGTGCCCGCCTCCAGCAAGGCACATGGCAGTCATTTATGGAGCCTTGTGGGCGCAAGACCATGAGGCAGATTTGGATCCAACCCTCAGAAGCTTATGTGCTATCATGAGGCCTCTGGTGATACAGTTTCTAATCAAAGCAGCCTCCAGAACAACTCCAAGCCATGGGGCATTGATGGCCTTGGTCCATCGGACTAAGCCTGGCCATTTAGGAATGCCCTGGAAGGGGGCATGTGGCCTGTTGGCATCAACTGTCCCCTCATCCAGCACACCTGGGAGCCTGCTGTTCCATCTAAGATCCAAGGAGCATCGTGAAGGGGGAGTGGTCATTGCACACACAGGGACTGGGAGACAGCACAGGCAGGCCTGGGGCACCTTGCAGAAGTGTGATAAACTGAGGCTCTTGGAGAAGGCGGCTGTTTTCTGCTTTCAGGATGATTCTATTAAGGCCTCACTTTTTATGGCAGCAGGGCATTCTCAAGCCAGGTCCCATCTGTCCAGCTGACATTGTCAGTATGCCCTCTGGACAATCCTGTGACACCCCTCTCAGTTGAAAACATTTTCTGTTCTGCAGGAAGCTGTGGGAGACCGGGTTCCTGTTCTTCTGCTGGGTAATAAGCTTGACAACGAGAAAGAGCGGGAAGTCCCCCGGGGCCTCGGAGAGCAGCTTGCCAAGGTAAAGAGCAAGCGACAGAGTGTAACCCTGAGGGAAGTCGGGCAAGTGCCCAGGAGCCTTGGTGGGGACTTTCTCTGGAAGTGCCATGGGAAGGGAGCAACTGGGAAAGATGGGTGTCTTGGCATCATGGGAGTGGCCCAGCTCCTGTGCATGTAGAACTCTGCATAGAAAACCACAGGTTGCAAGACGGGGTTGGTTAGGGACCATAGGGTATGGGGAATTATCCTAAAGTCCCTTCCTTGTAGCTCAGAATTTATAAATTCTAAGATAGCAAAAGTTTACTTATTTCAATCCCCCTCCAATCTGCATTTCCACTTGATCAGCCCCAGGGATGAGAAGCTCACTCTCTGTAAAGCAGTGTGTTCTTCTGTAGACCACTGTGTTAGAGAGTTCATCCTTTCTGTCAGGATGGAGCCTCAAAGTTGTGAACTCAAGATAAACCCAGGAGACACACTGGAAAACCTACCATTAAAATAAGCATGGGGCCTCTTGCCCAAAAATGGAATCAATGGGGCTTAACAGAAATCAAGCAACAAAGCGTGGTTCCTTGGCTTCTTTTACTGCCTCAGAGTTTGGTTTTCATGAAACTGTGTGTCTGGAAGGATGGGGTGCTTACCAGCCCCATGATTCTGTAATTCTTCGCATGCTCGTCCTAAACAGGGTTTCTTGAGTTCAGAGCCTGGGAGAATAAGCACAGATGGTAAGACTCAAGGAAAAAGGAGGAGGAAGGGCCTGACAGGTGTCTACATGGAGGGTCACTAGACAGTTACATGTCCACAATTCCAAAATCCGAAAAGCTCTGAAAACAGAAAGGGTTGTTTTGCATTTTATCTGGCAGAAAAATCTGACCAGAAATGACATGAGGCTATTCATGGTTGTAACCTCGCTTTGAAAAGGTGAATATTCAAATGTCTCACTGAAGCAATAGTAATATGTTTGATTATAGAGTGCTGTCTAAAATCCACTGAGGGTGTTATATAATACATAATATATACATGTATTACCTTTCTAAGATTCGGAAAATTCTGGATTTCAAAATACACCTGGACCTAAAGAGTCTATCCATTTTCTTTTATTTTCTTTCTTTCTTTCTTTCTTTCTTTCTTTCTTTCTTTCTTTCTTTCTTTCTTTCTTTCTTTCTTTCTTTCTTTCTTTCTTTCTTTCTTTCTTTCTCTTTCTTTCTTTCTTTTTGTCGGTGAAAAAAAAAAAACACTGAGACTCAGGAGTTACGTGATCTATTCGTATTATCACAGCTCATCCGAGGTGGGATCAGAACTCAAAGCAGGAAGGCAAATCATGTCTTCCAGTTCTAAGTCCTATGTCCTTCTCTCCCCACTATTCTCACCCCATGGAACTTCTACTCTTTGACAGACTGACCCAAGAGATGGCAGATCTGAGAGAAAGGCAGACAGGGAGAGAGAGAGTCCCTGGGGCTGGGTGAGAGGGGCAGAGGGCGGAGCTGCCTGTGGGTGTAGGTGGGGAAAGCTGCATTGGGAGCATGGCAGAGCCTCCTGAGCTACAGCCACAGAACTGTCCTCGCTCGGCTGGCCTGCATCCCCTCAGGGCATCAGCCTCCAAGAAGAGGCCATCTAAAACCAGGGCCCTGTGCCATTAGCATTGTCGTCATGACACCAGTCATCTGTTAATGGGAGTGATCAGTGGAATACGATGAGCCTTAGCCAAGGGCTCCCGCACCATGCAGGCAGCACAACCTCATCCTAATGAGCTGATGGCCAGTCCAGTGCACCAGTGCTGACAGCCAGGGCAGCTAGAGTATTAATTAACTGGGGTGAAAGAGAATTCCTACTGGAGTGCCTCATGAAACCTGTCCCCGAGGCCTATGGAGTGCCACTGTCTTGGGGAAAGCATGCTGCAAGGAGCTCTGCCATTGACTCACTGTGGGACTGAACGAGCCAGCCAAGTGCCCTCTGTCACAGCAGCTTGCCTGCTTGTGAAGGGGGAAGAATGTTGCCCGCCCTGGCCTTTGTGTCTTTGCCTGAGTCACACAGCTGGTGTAACCTGGAATGAGCATGTGTGTACTTGACAGTAGTTTGGGGAAGTATAAAGAGGCACTAAGACAGCATACGGTTTCATTGTTTTACAATTGTTATAGTTCACCTGGGAGATGGTTACAGAGCTTGCATTAGTCAGGGAGCCTGTGGAGACAGAAATCAGCCATGTACAGAGGGAGGAAGGATTATGAGGAGGTCAAGGAGCCTGCGAGAGGAAGCGAAGGCTGTAGGTAGATGCACAAGGGGGCTCTCCCACCACCCCCCACAGTCCCCTCTCACTCCAGTACTCTTGTATTCACTCTGTTTTATGATTCCAGGACAACAATCTGATCTTCTATGAATGCAGCGCCTACTCTGGTCACAACACCAAAGAGTCCCTGCTCCATCTGGCCAGGTAAAGAGACGTGCTCCCCAGGTGCAGTAACTGCTATGTCCAGCTGTGTCTGCCTTCAGGGAGGTACCGTATTTCCCGCCACCCAGGCCACGCCTCTGACCCCCTTTCCTCCCTATTGGCCGGAGCCCTCTGAGTACAGGCAATGGGGTCCTAGGCCTTTGTATGGGATTGCAACATCAGGAACGGCTTCCTGAAACAGTGCTGTTGGGAAAGAAAGCATCCCTGCCTGTCGCCCCCATTGCAGTCGTCTTCTGAGTCTTAAAGGCTGCCTTTTCCTAGGGATGCTCTTTTTAAATGCAAATCCTTCTGGGAAAGGTCAGATCAGAGGCTCCTCAGCACTGGCTGAAGTCTTAGCAGGGACTAGCTGGAAGCCAGCTGGGGGCAAGATTGGGTTATAATGTGAGTTCCTGGGTGTGGGAGGAAGGAGTGGGTGTAGAAACCAGAAAGAAGAGGGGCTGTGATGGGGAATCAATGGGAGGTAACCAAGGTAATGATGCTGGTAACATGAAAAGACTGGTTCCTTAAGGCCCTGCCTACACCAGAAATTTAAACAACAAAACCACGCTGGGACTCATTTCCAATACTTAAGCGTTCACTCATTCATTCATCCATCTAGGCCGTCATTTCATTCCATCTATTCATCCATCCAGTAAACACTTAACAGAGCCCATTTTGTGCTCAGCACTCATTCTGGGGCATTTAAAAATATTTTTCTTTGAGTAATTAAGAGCGCAGAACAACTCCTCTCTGCATTGGCGAGGTGATGGGGTTATGGAGTATCAGAAGGAAACATTCTGGTCTGTTCTCTGCCCCTGACTCCCTGGGCAAACGCCCTGCCGCTCTGAGGTTTGTCAGGAAGGTAGGAACACCAGTCATGCCTTCCTTCCCTGCCCACTCACAGGTTGTTGAGAGAATCAAAGGAGATGTGTAATGCAAAAGCGTTTTGAAAGTATAAAGCAGAGACAAGGTGTTCACCAGTATTTTTAATTCCTCACCTCCTACAATTAATCTGGAGCTTTGGCCACATGGCACAGCCCTACTGCAGAGGTCACAACCCATCAGTATATTTTGGAGCCCCACCTGTGTGCTGGTGACTGTGATAGGCTGCAGAGGCACGGAGACCAAAGAGAAGTCTCGGTCCCAAGCAACTCATTTTTGGCCGAGGGAGACAGCCGGGGAAGCCACGCGTTGTGACGCTGGGTGGTGGGGTCATGACAGAGGAAGGGTCAGATGCTGTCAGGGGCACGTGGGCTTACCTAGAGGATCAGGAGAGGCTTCCTGGAGGAGATGCCTTGAAGGATCCATGTCGACTAAACTCTCTGGCTTTACAATTATAGTTGTGCACCTGTACTGTCCAGGGGAGATGTTCAGGACTCTCTCTGATGCCGTGGTGAGGGTGGGTTCTCTCCGTATGGCCCAGATGGCCTGTAACCTGAGGGTGGCTGGTCCAGGTTGCCAGCCCTGGGCCTATCAACTTCTCCATCACTGACACTATCTCTTCGCCTCTCCCAGGTTCCTCAAGGAGCAAGAAGACACAGTGAGAGAGGACACCATTCAGGTCGGCCACCCTGCTAAGAAGAAATCCTGCTGTGGCTGGTAGGGTCTTACCAGGACTGCCCCCAGCAAGCCTGAGGTCACAGAGCCTACCCTGATCCTGCACACGGCTCCTGCACAGATGCCGCCCACGGGGGCCCGCCCAGTCCTTTTCTTTGTCAGTCACTCGCCTCCCCCAAAAGGAAGGGAAGCACATCCCATCAGGAGAGCTGCTCTTGGAGCATCTCAGAGTCTTTTCTGTCCTTTCTCTTTCCAGACCCCAGATGCCCATCCCTCCTTTGTTGTTATTGTTGTTGTGTTCCCTGACTTAGTTTCCTAAGGGAAAGAAACAGATGGGCTTTTCCAGAAAAGCCACCACGTGCCTTCTCCACCCCCCCTTCTCCTCCCCTTGCCCTTCGGAGCCTCAGCACTGCTGTTGCCATGACAACCATGTGGGGCCGACTTGCGGCTTCCTGCAGGCCAAGGTACAGCACTCAGGTGCTGCCAGGGTGGTTAATCTTGCTTGGCCCCTGTTCTCCAGCGGCCAAAGGGAGACTTTTATACCTGCTTCGCGGACCTTGAGATACCCAGGTTGTTGACTGCAGCAAACCAGGGCGGCCACATTCTATTCTACCCCCGGCCCGGGGGCTCTGCTCGTTCCTTACTCCCAGCTTTGAGCCTTCCCTCTCAGCACCATGCCCACTGCCTTTGTCCCCTTGGGTTTTCTGGAACAGTGCCTTAGGGAGAACCGACAGCCTTTCATCCTTGCCCCCCACCTACAACCTTGACTCCAGGGTGGACTGTGGGTGATAAGTGTACGCCTGGGGTTAGGGGGTGGGTTGACTTCCCACTTAACTTTGACTGAGAAATGAAAGGAAAACTAGTGGAGAAAAGCCATCTGCTGCTAAACAGAGCGACCATTTATGGAGGGTACAAATGAGGTATATATAGCTATAGAAAAGCCATTTTCTAAATGTTTCTCAAAATAGCTCTTTGAAAAATCATACGTGATGATTAACAGGGTAGACTGACACGCAGGCAGTGGGGCCCAGCGCGAGGGCCGTAGTTACTGACTTCATTTTATTTTCTTTTACTTTATTTCAGAACACTGTATTTTTTTTTTTTTTCAGTGTGGCTGTGATGTTGACATTTTGCTGGTGTTTGAGAAGTGAACAGAATGTAGCTGCTGGCTTCAGCACCCCCGATTGCAATAGCACAGGGCACTTGGACTGGGGGAATGATCTGGGCCCCGTGGGATTCCTGCAGTTGGGTGGTGGTGAGTTCCCAGCCAGCTCCGGCATCACTAGCCAGCTGTCACAGTACTCTTGCCCTGAGTAGGAAGTCGAATGAAAGTTATTACAAAGATAAATGCCGATCACCGGGCCTGCAGACCCAGGCCCCCACAGGAAAGTGGGTAGTCCACACCCAAGTGGGGCACAGAGAGAGGGAGAGGGGCAGAAAGTGTCCACAGGCTTCCAACAAGATAGCTGAAGACAACCCCACACAGCCACACGGATGGCGGAGAGACCACTGGCCAGAGTTCTCAAGGTATTCCAATAGCCTCCTCCCAGACTCCCAAAACAGTCAGAGGCTCTCTGGGTCCCCAGGCAAGTACCTACCTCTTTTTTGCAGACTTCTCTTTCATTGAGCACTTGCAGGAACCAGAGAGCCCATGGAGGGTGCCGAACAAAAATGACAACTGGATACCAGGAGGTGCTTCATGACCCTAAACAAGCCCACTCCCTCCTTGGCCCCCACCACGTCAGTAAAATGAAGGGACTGGATATTTGATGCTTTGAGCTCTTCTTGCTCAGATGCACAGGATGACGTGTTTATTTTCCATCATCAGCTGGCCCTGGACCCCAGTCCAAGGTTAAAGAGAATTTACAGGAAACTCCCTTCCCCTAGGGAAGAGCAGTGGTGATGGTCCCATTAATAGGATGAGGCAGGGAGAGGGGATGCATGGGTCACCCAGAGGTGGCCCTCCAGTGTGTGTGTGTGTGTGTGTGTGTGATGTGCGTGAAGGGAAAGGAAGGATAGAAGGTCATGGTGGCTGTGGAGAAAGTAAACTCACTCTTCTGCTTTTGACAAACAGCAGCTATAGCTATTGGGATTTATGGGGCAAGCAGACCATTCCTGGGGTTTCCTAAGCCCACAAATGTCTTTATTCCTAATTCCTTGCCCCTGCTTTCCGCTGCATTCTTCCATTTAGAAACAGGCCATGCAAGGTTTAGGGCAGGAAAGGGTGGCCCTAGTGCCCTAGTGCCTGGCCTCCTGGCCTGTGGGGTAGATCACCATGAGTCTTCAAAGGAGAGAGAAAGGAACAGGGTGAGTCTTCAGGCCTCTGATACTCTCTTCCCCAATCCCCCTTTTAAAAAGAGGAGAGGGCCGAGTGTGGTGGCTCACACCTGTAATCCCAGCTGAGCCAGAGGATCATTTGAGACCAGAAGTTTGACACCAGCCTGAGTAACATAGCAAGACCCTCCCACTACAAAAAAAAAAAAAAAAAAAAAAAAATTAGCAGAGCATGGTAGCATGAGCCTGTAGCTTTAGCTACTTAGGAGGCTGAGCCAGGAGGATCACTTGAGCCCAGAAGTTTGAGGTTTAAAGTGAGCTGTGATGGTGCCACTGCACTCCAGCCTGAGGGACAGAATGAGATTCTGTCTTTAAAAAAAAGAGTGGAGGATTGGGACTCCAGAGGAACTCTGAGAAGTTCCTTGTCCCCAGCTGTCAGCTCCCCTCCTCCCATTCCTTTAAAGCCACCATGTTGATCAGAGCCACCCTGGGCTGTCACTCTGGCCCAGAGGCTGCCAGAGAAACCTTCTGGCTTTGTGTCATTCACATCGTTGTAATGGCCTTGAGCAAGTCGCTTAACCAGGATCCACGTTTATCTGTAGATTGAAATTTTCAATGTGTACCTCACAGGGTCATTTTAGTATTAGATGAGGTCACGAATATAAAGTACCTAGCAACGTGCCCAGACTATAAGAGGTGTTAATAAGTAGGGGCTATTTTTGTTGCCAACATCGAGTTGCTATCCTGGCCACTTGCCTTGCTTCAGTTTTATATTTAGAACCAGCTAACAGTTACTAAGCATCTGCCCAGAACTGGGCACGTTCACAAACACAACCTCGTTTGAGCATCTGTTTGCCCGAGTTCTGAGCTCGTGTCTGGCTTGCCTCTTGCTGTTCTTTGTTCCTATGAGTTTCCTAGGTTTCTGGTTTTTCTATCAGTGCCTATAGCCTTCCAGGGCCTGTTGCCTGATCCCAGCACCCAGTCCTCTCTCCCTCCCTCTCTGTGGTGCTCCAGGAACCACTCGGCAGCTCAGACCTGGTCACAACTCCTGGGTATTTACCAGTGAATGGCCTGTGCTCATTGCCATCCCTGGCTCTCGCCTGCTCCCTGTTCTTACACCTTTTGCTTCTTCTAGGGACAGATGCTGCCCTCAGCCCTGAGTTGCCAAACCAAGAACCTCATCACAACCCAGTGCCCCAGCTGCTTTGCTCCTTGTCTAGCATTTGTTTCACCCCACACTCTCTGTGGGACTTTTTTTGTTCCCCTGTGATACCTTAGCTTGCTCCCTGCTCCTCATCCTATACTCTTTCTCCATTCTTAATACTTCTACCCTCTCGGAGAGGCTTCTTCTCCCTGCTTTCCTCCTGGGCCCAGGCCAGGCCATACCTACAGAGTCTGTCAAAAGTGACTCAACCATTTGTGTCTGTCACTATCGGTCACTGCTCCAACGGAGCTTGAACCAACTTCAGCTAAATGGAATTACAACACAATTGGTGGCGTCCAGGGCCATATTTATACTTTAACAAAGAACTGTAAGGGAGGCAAACCTTTAACTCAAAGGAACGAGTCCCTAGTGATAGGATATTAATCACTATAATGGGTTATGGAAGTCAAACATTTAGGACAAAGCTGCCTTCTCTACTCTCAAAGACCTCAGTTTGCTTCATGTATTTTGGGGCTTTCTTGCTAGGTTCAAATGTATTTATAATTGTGATTTCTTCTGGATGGACTGACCCTTTCTCATTATAAAGTGTCCTTCTTTGTCTTTGGTAACAATTTTTGTCTCAAACTTGAGTTTTGTTTTTTTTTTTTTTGAGATGCAGTTTCCCTCTTGTTGCCCAGGCTAGAGTGCAATGGTGCGATCTCAGCTCACTGCAGCCTCCGCCTCCTGGGTTCAAGCAATTCTCCTGCCTCAGCCTCCCAAGTAGCTGGGATTACAGGTGCCCGCCACCATGCCCAGCTAATTTTTTTGTATTTTTAGTAGAGACGGGGTTTCACCATGTTGTCCAGGCTGGTCTTGAACTCCTGACCTCAGGTGATCTGCCTGCCTCAGCCTCCCAAAGTGCTGGGATTACGGGTGTGAGCCACTGTGCCGATTTTATCTGATATTAGTGTAGCCCCTTCGGCTCTCTTTTTATTGCTGTTTGCAATGTATATCTTTTACATCCTTTTAATTTAAATCTAGTTGTATCTTTAAATCTACAGTGTCTCTTGCAGACAGCATATAGTTGGATCGTGTTTTTTAAATCTATTCTTCCAATCTCTTAATTGGAAAGTTTAATTTATTTATATTTAATATAATTGAAAAAGTAAGATTTGTCTGCCACTTTGCTATTTATCTTCTATATATCATACGTCTTTTTAAATCTTGTATTCTTTCATTACTGCCTTCTTTTATGTTAAATAGATGTTTTATTTAATTCTCTTATTTCATTTACTATATATTTTTGAATTATTCTCTTGGTGGTTGCCCTGGGGATTACCATTAATATCTCAATTTATAACCATGTGTTCATGTTAATACCAACTTAATTTCAAGTATACAAAAATGTTGCTCTAAAGTGGTCCCATTTTCTCCTCCCTTATGCTATTATTGTCACAAATTTCATCTTTATACATTTTGTGTCCATCAACATACATTTATAATTATTGCCTTATGCAGTTTTTTATTTAAATCAGGAAAAAGAGTTACCAACAACAAAATAAATTTGTAGTGTTTTATATCTGACTTCATAATTTATTTTACTAGTGTTCTTTATTTCTTCATGTTGATTCACATTACTATCTTGTGCCTTT